AACCCCCTTTTTTCTGATAGGCATATTTGTATACTTTGTATATAAAAATTTGAGAAGAACACTTAAAAGGAAAAAATACCAGTTTTTCTTATAAAAAATATTTTAAACAAAAAAATTACTAATTAGTAATACAATTGAATACTTTAATTAAATAAAACAGAAAATCATCTTTAATTTTTATATATAACCTGTGATGTAAAAAATCAAAAACCATGGTGTTTTTATATTTTTATATGCCTTAGACTTCTGTTACATATACTTTTGCTTTATTTTTAACAGGGCTGTGGGTGAATAGGAACGAATTAACACTTAAAACACTACTAATTATTTGTTTTATTCAAATACGGTATTCGATTGTATTACTAATTAGTAATTTTTTTGTAAACTTTTTTTATAAGAACAAATTTGTAATTTTTCTTTTAAGTGTTTTTTCTCCAATTTTATTTACGAAGTATACAAATATGCATATTATACAAAAGGGGGTTTAATCGCCTTAACAACAATGCTAATTTTTAAAAAATCGGCGAGTGATTTTTCTGTTTAAAATATTTTTTGATAAAAAAAGTTATTTTTTCCTTTTAAGAGTTTTTTCTCAAATTTTTATTGACGAGCTATATAAATATGCATATCAGAAGAAAGGGAGTTTAATCGCCTTTACAACGATACCAATTTTTTTTAAATCGGTTAGTAATTTTTTGGTATACAAAAAAAGTTATTTTTTCCTTTAAATGTGTTTTTTCTCGAATTTTTGTATACGAAGTATACAAACATGCATATCACAAGAAAGAAGGTTAGATCACCTTTACAACGATATGAATCTTTTAAAAATCAGTTCAAAATTTTCTGAAATATTAAATGTTTAATTTTTCGAAGATCTCACCTTTGACCCGTTATAGCACCTGTAATATAAGTTTCCGCAAAAAAAAACTTGTATGCCATATAAATGAGAGAAAAAGGTGGACCACGTCTGTATTTTTACTTTTTTTGCTTTTTACATGCAATAACACTACGGCAAAATCAACTTTTTTCTAGGTATTGGACCAAACCAACTTATTTGAAGAGACTGAGTCATAAGTAAAAAAAGTTTTTCGAAGTTAGCCTCCGAAATCGAGATGTGGGCCTTCGAAGTTCGAAATAGGACCTTTGGTAAAAAATTATATTTAATTATTGCATATAAATAACTAAAAACATAAAAATATAGACGAAGTTCTCCTTTTGCTCTTATTCAAATGGCATATAACTTTTTTTGTGCAAGCTTATATTACAGGTGCTTATATTACAGGTGCTTCGGAAAATTAAATTCCTTATATTTCAAACAATTTTCAACTGATTTTACAAAGTATACAAATATGCATATATATATATATATATCCTTTCGGGGGTTAAATCACCTTTATAACGATATGAATTTTTTAAAATCAGTTCAAAATTTTCTGCAATATTGTGTTTTTAATTTTTCGAAGATCTGACCTTTGACCCGTTATAGCACCTGTAATATAAGTTTTCACAAAAAAAGTTATATACCATATAAATAAGAGAAGAAGGCGGACCACGTCTGTGTTTTTACTTTTTTTGCTTTTTACGTGCAATAATTAAAAATAATTGTTTACCAAAGGTCCAATTTCGAACTTCGAAGACCCATATCTCGATTTCGAAGGCTAACTTCGAAAAACGGACAAATTACTTTTTTTTACTTATGACTCAGTCTCTGAAAAAAAGTGGGTTTGGTCCAATACCCAGCCGAGTGCTGTACAGTGTTATTAATTGGCAATTAATAATTTGAATTTTTGTATGATAAATTGGGTAACAATTAAGGCCTAAATTGGTGAAAAGGTTCTTAATTGCCAAATAGGTGCCTGTTTGAACATAGTCTAAGATGATAGTGGCAGCGCATCAGTCAATTAAGAACGGTATCACTAAAAGTTGATGATTTCCATGTGAGAGAGTCAAGACAAAGTGAACCCTCGACAATCAACATGTTGGCGCGTGAGAGAATAAGAGTGCGAAAATGTCAAAATGTCAGCGTACCTAAGAAGTGTTCCACAACGTAAGAATTTACTTTGCATATTTCGCCTTGTATTCAGTGTTTCCAGATTTTGTTTGCAAAAAACTATAACTTTCCGGGGAAAACCCTGTATTTTCTAACAAAAAACTGAACCATGAAAACCGAAAAGTTTTAAAAAAAGTTTATTGATTTAGTTTTACAAATAAATAATAAAAAGCTATTCTTTAAAATGCAATACCATAAACCGTTTAATTTATACTTAACTAAATAAAAATAGACTCTATAATATGGAATATTTCAATCACATTTTGTTCTAATGACATCTGGTTTAATTATTCTTCGTTAATTCCTTTATTAATTTTTTTGAGCATTTCATTCGATACCTCAAATTTACTACCTCTTGAATCATTTTTTAAAGAAACCTGTAGTTCTCAAAACACGAGAGTGCTGGAATTTCTAGTTTATTTATTGTTTTGTTCAAATGCGAATGACAGATGAAAAAAAAAAATTTCATGAGGAAACGCGTCGTCTTCATCACCCCCTTTTATCTTAAATAGGCATGTTTATTTTACACGTATTTATGTGCGCTTATGAATAGTTGTCGATAAAATCAAAATTACTTGTTTTCAAATGGAAATTGTTGGTGCTTATTTTTTGTTTTACACGTTAGGCGTATATGTATATGCGTGTAAGAAAAAACACGGCTATTGTAGACTTACAAAAACACCGAAAGAAAAACTTTAAGTTATCTACTCCTTCAAATCGGAAAATTAGGAGCTTAATTTAACCAACTGTAAACTGGTTTAAAAAACCGAAATATACAGTTTCAACTGTGAAAACATTACATGTATAATATTCAAGCATATCTGCTTTGTTTGCACACCGCACATGAGCCATTCTTTTTTAAGTCGGACGGTAAAAAAAATTGTCATACCTCCGATTCGCTTCAAATTTTTTTTGTGGGTTCAATAAAAATAAAATAAAATAATATAAGCTAACACGTGTTGAAGGAGTTTTTTTTTCTTCATTTTTTTTTTTTTGGAGATATAATCTGTTAAAGTTTGCACTTTTTCGTGATTCTGACTAATCATGTACTTCTTCAAATCGTTATATCTCATCTTAGGGACTTCATCTTAACGTCATTTCAAAGCTAAGAAACGGGCTTAACATCTGTAATAAGATGGTCAAGATTGTCCTAAAGCCAACTTAGCTATTAACAGTTGAAATTTTTGAAGTTGATTTGCATAGTGAAGACCAGTAAATTAGGGATTTAAAATTATACGATCGTAGTCCTATAAAAAGCGCGGTTAAAAAATGAGCGTTTTTCAAGAACTATTTTTTTAAATATTTTTCTTTATGACGAGATGGTTTATTTTGTGAGAATCAACAATTTTTTGTAATTTGTTTTCAAAAACTTATGTTAAGATATATTTGGCAATGTGTTAAACATCGGGTTTTTACAAAAAGTAAAATTTTATTACGATTCCGATAGAATACCTATCTAGGTATAATATTTGTATGACAAGATTTTTCTTTAATGCGGCGAACCCCTAGAAATGGGCGTGGCAATTGCAGAACTAAGATTAGCAAAACGCAGATTATATTGCGAATTTCGGCAGAATATAGCTTCGTTACCAATATTTGTTTCACAACTTCACTATGCAAATCAACTTCAAAAAGTTCAACTGTTAATAGCTAAGTTAGCTTTGGGACAATCTTGACCATCTTATAAATATATAGAAATGTTAAGCCAGTTTCTTAGCTTTAAAATGACGTTAAGATGAAGTCTCTACGATCAGCAGAACCCGAGATATAATGATTTCAAGAAGTACATGATTAGTCCGAATCCGAAAAAATTCGAACTTTGACAGATCATATCTGCGAAGAAAAAAAATAAATAAAAATCCCCGAACACGTAAATACTAGGTTATTTCATGTATCTTCTTCTTTTTTAATGGCACTGTAACCGCCTAAGCGATTTTGGTCGAGTCCAAAACAGCACGCCAGTCATTTCTCTTCTGTGCTGACGCCAATTGGAAATGCCAAGTGAAGCCAAGTCCTACTCCACCTGGTCTTTCCAACGCAGAGGAGGACTTCCTCTTCCTCTGTTACCAGCATCGCGACCCGCGTTGAATACTTTCAGAGCAGGAGCGTTTCTGTACATTCGAACGACATGGCCAAGCCAGCAGTGCCACTGAATTTGAATTCGCTGCACTATGTTAATATCGTTGTAAAGCTCATACAGCTCAGCGTTAAATAAAGATCCGTTAATCTTTCGCAGAATCTATCTCTCGAAAACTCCAATAGCCGCTTCATCAGATGTTTTCATTGTCCATGCCTCCGCGCCATACACCAGCACAGGCATGATGAGTGACATGATAGAGTGTGATCTATGTACGACGAGAGAGGACTTGACTTCTCAATTGCCTACTCAGTTCCAAGTAGCACTTGTTGGCAAGAGTGATTTTCCGTTGGATTTCAAGGCTGACATTATTATTGGAGTTAATGTTGGTTCCCAAATAAACGAAGTCGTCTACTTTTTCAAACTTGTAACTGTCAACAGTGACGTGGGTGCCAAGACGCGTATGCTCTCACTGTTTGTGTGATGACAGGAGATACTTCGTTTTGTCCTCGTTCACCACCAAACCCATTCGCTTTGCTTCTCTATCCAATCCCGAGAAGGCAGAACAGACGTAGCCTTCGTTTTTACAGAACCCATAAAAAAAAATTTAAGCCAATCGAAAGTGTGCACCAAATTTGGTGTCCGATATGAAAAAGAATGTCTCACATACATTGCATACATATATTTTGGAAGTCAGCCATTTGTATCGAGAACGAGTTCCGCTTAATACAAAAATTTCCAAGCAACTCCACTCTGAAGCTGTCAAAATGTACAAATCTGTACAAATGCACAGATGGTGTGATCCCTGCTAAGTGTATTATAATAGTTGGGCCCAATAAATCATTAGTAACTAGGTGGTTTAATTCAACTTACCAAATGCTCATTCGATAGCACTTCCAGAAGTGTGAGTAAATTGTGACCATCTCTCAGATCTTCAAATAGATCGTCCACTTGCCTTTTCGCCTATAATTAATTAAAACAATTTGTTTAAATATTACGCATATATTTATGTATGTGAGGGTGGGAGTTGTATGTGCAATTTTTTTGTCATGCTTGCTAGCAGATTAGGATTCCATATAAAGTTCTAAGAAAAAAAAATCCACTAAGGCATAGCTTAACAAGGCAACTTTAGCAAAGATAGTTGAAAGACTTTTGTAAGATAACACAGGCCAACAAAATCATTTAGTTTAAAAATTAGTTTAAGATCTCAAATATTTAAGATCACTTTTCAGAGATGGTAGTCGAGAGATCTAGGTTTAGTTTAAGCCAGGAAGGTTCTTTCAAATTTTGTTTCTTTGCTAGAGCTTCTAAAATAATAATAATAATAATAATAGATTGGCGCTTACACATATGTTAGCGTTTGGCCGAGCGTCTCCTCCGATTTGTGGTGTGCGCCTTGATGTTGTCACACAAAGTGGAGGGACCTACAGTTTTACGCCGACTCCGAACGGCGATTGTATTTTTATGATCGCAAACAATCGGTGGTTTGCCATTGCCTGCCGAAGGACGACCGCTGTTAAGGAAAAACCTTTTTTCTATATTTTTTTTTGCGATGGTGCTTTGACCAGGGCTTGAACCCGAACGCTGCGGAGTGGAAGCGCGCCCTGCTTACCACTACATCACAGCTTCTAAAATACATATTGCAAAAACCGCGATTTTTTGATACTTTGACCTCGTTTTTTCAAAATCTGGAGCCGATGGAAACTTTATACTTGCGAAGTCATAATCAGCCATAAATAATAAATCTATCGAAAACAGCTGTAACATTTGCCGTACCAAAAGTTGTTATCCATAAAAAATTGAGGTTTCCGTTTTTTCTACAGAAATTTTTCCTTATGTGGTCTATAACACCCTTCGCTCCCCTTTTTACTTATAGTTTTTTCAAAATAATTCAATGATCATGCATGGGCAGTAGCCTGGGCCCTATTTTGCAACTTTGGCCTACAATGCAAGACTGACCCCAGAAAGGTTCATTTGGTCATAAAAACGTGACCTGCGAAAAATTTTTTAAATCGGATAACGGAAAGACGTCAGAGCTGCAAAACTACATCAAGTGCCATTAAAATATATAAAATTTCCCACTGACTTATAGGCAATTTTAACCACTTTGTGAGAGATTGCGTGATAATGCTGAACTTTAGGGCCTTTCCAGGCACGTCTTTCCCTTGTCCGATTTTAACAATTTTTCGCAGGGCATGTTTTTATGACCAAAGGAACATTTCTAGGGTCTTGCTTTGTAGCTTAACAAAAATGTTTCTCCATACAGCTAAGGCGCAGGCTAATGTGCAGGCGTGGGCAGAGAACGAGCACTTAATGGGCTAGCTTTTCTCAATATTCATCGCAATTTGGATGTTAACGTTGGCTCAGTATTAAAAGAATTTATATCTATACCTCGGTGAATTGCGTGTGACTTTCCTTTGAGTTTTACTAAATTATATCCACGATTAAATCCAATATGCTGAATACTCTAAATAAAAAAAAAACTTATATTCTTGGTGGTTACGAATGACTTTACATAAACCCCCCCTAAAGAAAAATCCAGCGGCCGGCCCCAAAATACCGATGCACTCTGACTCTAGCAGTGGAAATGAAGATGAGAAAGACACCTTTAAACTCAAGTTGCTTCAGAACTGTAGCTAATTAAAAATTTTCATGATCAGATTCGGGCTCTACGGGACAAATCCTATACGGATCGGCTGTAATATTTTAGTCAACATAAACTTTGTTGGCCTGTGTTATGTTCTCTTAGACGAAGGTTTGAGCTTCAATTACGACATATTTAGAAATTTCCTGCACCTCAGATTCATTTAACAAAAGTGATCAAAAACAGGCAAAACAAGAGTTAAAAAAAATCGTGCATACTCGTATAAAAACCTGTTTCCAATTGATTTCGGTATTAGGATCATAATTTGTAAACATTTGTAAGAAATTTTTGAAAAAAATCCAACTTGGCAAGATGGTGAGGATTTTCAGAATGGTAAGAGAATTATAAGCGCACTAAGAGTTGTGAATAATACCGCAGAGCATGGTATAAAACAGTATGTGTTGTGTTACAAGTCACAAAATATTATAACCGCAAATTTCTGTCATTTACAAAAATATGTCTTATGAATACAAAATAGTATTATCGATATTACGGCACATCTGGTGGAAAAAACCGGTATCCATGTATATAATACGCGAAGTAATTTTTTGTGCTGGACAAAAGATCTGCACCGTTCGCTCGATCTTCAAAAATGGGGTGTCAAATTAAAGCGCTTGGCCTTGGTAGACGTGTAAACTAGTACCTGTAAAACAATTGAATTCAAATTATTTAATAATCAATGCCAACATATCCACACCGTTCGTTAAATTTTCCTAAATGCGGTGTTCAAATAAAAGGGCTTAGGGTGTGCATGTTCAATAAGGTTTAACTTTTTCGAAAAGAGTTGCCACCTGTTAAGAAATTAAGCACAAATTATTTAAAAAGTTAAATCAATTGGTATAAGATGGGTAGCAATCGAAATGGTTTTGAAAGGGCTTTATGTCTTAACTACGTTAATGGATGCCGAATGAAAGTTTCAAGAAATATTTAGTTTGAAAATTTAGAACATTTTTGATGTGTTTGAGAGTTGCCCCAGTTTAAAGGGCTAAAATAAAATTAATTAATAAGTTAAATGAATTACTAAACGATGGTTATCAATGGAGATGGGTTTAAAATCCTCTATTTCAGAACTATATTTAGGAGGGTTGTCACGTGTTTAAAAAATTAATTTTCACTTAATTCATCATACTATTTATAACAATTTCAGACGAAATATAATTAAAGAAATTTTAGATCGAAAATGATTTTTAAGAGGGTTGCCGCCTGTTTTGATAGTCGTATTTACATAGTTTAATTATACATAAGTTACATAAACTTTTAAATATGGGTATCAAACGAACGGGTGTTAAGAAATCTTTAAATCGAACATTTAGATTTTTCAGGTTGCCAGTAGAGGGCTGCCACCTGTTGAACAAATTTAATTCAAATTATTTAATAAGTTCAAAGGATTGCCAAAAGATGGGCATCAAACGAAATGGGTTTGAATAGACTTTATTTCTGGACTGTATTTTAAACGATAAAAAAAATATTTAGTTTGAAAATACCTTTAAAGGGGTTGCCACTTGTTTGAAAAGTCGAATTTGTTTTACTTATACGCCAGCTACATAAATGAAACATCGAAATATTAATGTCAAACGAAAGAGTTTTAAGAAAACATTGGGCTGATAATACTTTAATATAGGGTTTCCGTCTATTTTTTTTGAAGGTCATCACATCTTCACCGTTATTTCGAATTTCCAAAATGAGAGTCAAATTAAAGAACTGGGATTCTACACAGATTTGCACAGGTTTTATTTTTTGAAGTTAGAACCTTTTTAGCGGTGGGTTTTTGAATAGGGTTTCATCTGTTTAAAAAATTTAATTAAATTTTGGTGTTTTGAAGCCATGCGGGTTCACTAGTTTTATTATTTACTTAGATCAAAATATTAAATTCTGTGGAAATATATATACTTTACAAATGTCTTAAATAAATTATTTATAGAACCATTTGGTTTATTATCGGTGATTTGGAAAAGTTGTTAACTAAAATAATAATTCAAGTCTATACAAAATTTTAAATAAAAATGTAATATTTGGGTTATTTCAAACTTATAACTCAAGGCGTAGGTTTCATACCACCTTCAACCGGGCCCAAATTTTGTATATCGTATTCTCGGACAAACCCCATATAAACCCAAGTTTAATAACTTGCAGAAAACTACAAAAAAGTGCAACAATTTTTCACCTTAATTTCAAACTTCTTTCTCGGAAGTGTTAAAATTTGTTTGAGTACACAGTATTTTTTTTAATTTTAGTCTGAAAATCTGCACGTTTCAAGTGGCTAAAAGTTGCCGTTGATTTGTTAGAATTTTTTTGACCAAAGCTGTTGTGGATTTCTTCCATATACAAATAAATTGAATTTATTCATTGTATGGGTGCCAATGCGACAAAAAAAAATTCAAATTAACGGTAATTCGTAGCCACTTGAAACTTGCATATTATCAGACTAAAATTGAAGGGGCTAAAGAACTGTGTACTCAAAAAAATTCTAACACTTCCTAGAAATAAGTTTGAAATATAGGTGAAAGTGTGTTGCACTTTTTTGTAGTTTTCTACAAATTATTAAACTTGGGTTTATGTGGGGTTTGTCCGAGAATGAACTATATTTTAATTGAAAATTCTCAAAAATAAATAAATAAAAATAAGTGGCAGACAATATCACCTTGAAATGGCGTCCTATAGATATGACCGATACAGTATTTATACAGCGTGGCGACGAATAACTGTTACCCAGGTTTTTTTGAGAAATAAAAGTGTCATTTATAGATTTTGCGAAAATAGTATTTTATTGTTAATTTTCCACAGATTTTACTTTAGTTGTATTAATTGGTTTTTAAATTTGAATCCTTATTTACATTTTCCAGCTGTGTAAACTTTGAGAGAAAAGTTCATTTGGCACGCAGGTCTTCGTCAGTTAATTTATCCCATATCTTCTGTAACCATAGGCAAATTTTCTCCATTTTGAGTCCCTTATACTCCCCGTTTTGTCCAACATAAGGCCTCATACTCATAAATCGAATAGACTCGGAACTGGTGACTAGAACGGCCATTCATTCGACCAACCTTATAAAGTTTTTTTATCTTTTGTATTTTTTTATACAAAGCATAAGAAAAAATACACATGAAAAAGACTTGCGTGCCAAATGAACTTTTCTCTCAGATTTTAAACTGCTGGCAAAAGTAAAAAAGGATTAAAATAATTAATACAACTAAAGTAAAATCTGTAGAAAATTAACAATAAAATACTTTTTTCGCAAAATCTATAAAGTACCCTTTTATTTATCAAAAAAAAAAAGGGGAGCAGTTATTCGTCGCCACGCTGTATGCAAAAGTACAAACAAACAATTTTTATCATGAAAACCATTTGAAAATGGTAAAAAAACGCACTCACTTTTGACGCTCCAGATAAAATTTTGTAAAACAATTGGTAATTAAAAAAGAAAGAGAGTAACAATTTATGAATTCTTGCCTTCGTGGACCGTTTGAACAAAATCATCCGCGCAAGTGTTATATTGAAAAATATTAGCTTCGTTCTGAAATTTGTTTTTTTTTTATTCTATGGCCTTATAACAATTATATTCAACAATTTTATTGAGCTCTAGGCCATTTTTAAATGAAAAACTATTGTGGAAAAGCAACAATAACTTTTATTATTATAATTTTTTTTTTTGAAAAATGGCGGAAGTGATAGCTATTTCGGAAATCACCACATTTCCACATCAGACTTCGTTCAGTAGGATTCGAATCGACGCACTGTGCTAAGTTCGCCTTGTAAATTATTGTTGCTCTTTTTTTTTGTTAAGCCAACACAATCAAGCGCAGCATTCCGCTGCAATTCACACTTGATCGTGTGTTGTTGGTTTTGTTTGTTTTTTTTTTTAAATAATTCTATTTTTAGAATGTTTAACTTTTAGGTGTGCTCGTCCTTAAGTTATTTTTTTTTTTGTTCTGAAATTTAATTGTACTTTTGACTACTTTGGTGTATTTTAACCAAATTCAAAAAAATTATAGTTTAAAAAACTATAACCTCGCTATTATAATTTCCATTCGTACTGTCATCAGGTATGTAACTTGAAAATAGAAATCGCTGCATCTTTTAGGCGCGTCAATATTACATAGTTACATCCCGAGCTAATAAAAGGGAGGTAAAAGGACAATTTTTTAGTTTAATAATATGCTTATTATTATAGTTTCTTCAACGATGACTATTTCCATACCTTTTTGAGATGTTTGTTTACCCATTTAGTAAATGTTTTTTTTTGAATAGCATCTCGCTCATCTGCAAATACAAAGAGAATAAGAGGAGCAAAAAGAAACCACAATTAAAAATCATAAGAACGATTGTTGTTAGAATTAGTAAATACTTAATGCAGACTACAAAAATATTACCTACTAATTAATTGTTACATTTTCCAAGCAAATATTATTTTTTCCTGAGAAGTGCAGCCTTCTAAAACCCAGTTAGCAAAATTCAGCTAAATAAATAAAATGACTTATTTTCTTACATTATTTTAGTTGCTATTTTTCAAATCGAGCTTTATGGTGCTGAAATTCGGATAAAATAGAATTTTTCTAATTTTTCCGTCGTTATTTGGAAAAAAAAAACACTATCAAAATCATACGTTGTCATTGCAGTATAGAATAACATTATTTTTTAAATTATCAATCGATAATTTCCTTTTCTGGTAATTTAAAATTGTTGAATAATTCGAAAAACTCCTTTCCACATCCGTGGGTGTAGTTGGACAAAATTTAAATAAACTTAATTCTGCTGGAGTGTATTTCGATAGATGTGCAGTCCTGGTTGTGAAACCCGTAAGTAATATACATATCTTTTATATGAACAGTTTTCGTATAGGCAGGCCCAAAATACTTTCAACTTTTTCTGAGTATGCATATATATGTTCAACATTTCGTATTGCTTTTTCACAGTTGTCACAATTTCCATACTTTCTTTCAATGTCAAACTTTGTATTTGAAGCTTTGTTATACCTACTATCCAATAAACAAAATTTGCGTAAATGAACGCCAGATCTGTTCAGATTTCTTCCAACTCGAGCAGTATGTATCAGGGACGGATAATAATCATTATTTTTTTTAATTTTAAACAAAAAAATCATCGTCGTAAAATAATTTTAGCTATATTCAGGTATTTGTGTTCGCACGTCCTACTGTAATTTACAATTATTTTAATTTTTTTAATTTTACCAATAAAGATTTAAAAATAATAATTAATAATTGAGTTTAATAACGATTATATACATATATTGTAAGTACTCTATGGTTGATACATGTTATTGTAATAAGTATGTTGACTAATTGTTGCCTATTTTAGTGTAATTCTGATGAGGGTGCAATGCTAGCACCGAAAGCTTAATAAATATATAAAATATACTTATATTGGCTCGGAGATATCGCCTTTGGTTTTATCTTAGAATTAATATTGAGTTTTATTTTTTCACGTAAGAATAATGATCATTCCAAAAACTCAAAAGCTATACCAGCGTGATTTCCCACGTATCCTCTTCAGAGGTACGACACCCTAATAAAAGGAATAAGTTCCAAAATTTTCAGGTTGCGTCTGCATGGCCTTTTCAATTTTTTAAGTAATCATTATTTTTAAGTGGAAAAATTAAACTCAATAATGATTATTATCTCTGAGCGAAAAAATAAAAATCATAAAATAATCAATATTTGAGAAGACCACTTGCAAACAGCGTTATGTAATTTTATAAAAGAAAGGCATAAATTTGAAAAAACGACTACGACAACAAGTAACATTTAAATTGAATCTTTTTTAATATTACCTGAAAATTTTGATAAATAAGAGCCTTATAAAATTGTAACATAACATAACATGACATAAGAAAACATTAATAGTCTGTCTATACGACCCAAAGCAGTTTTCTAAGTTCATCAGAAGATGTATACTTTTGAAAGTTTATAAGTAAGTATGATAGCGACTTTTGGAAGAAGAGTTAACATTTGATGCTATTTTTTCAAAATATAAAAAGATTTTGCACTGTGTTCTTAGTGGACATGAAACTATTTTAAATACTGGTGTAATCCACCAAAAACTAAACATCGAAAAAATTTTACATAGCGCACTTCGCAAGTGGACTACTCATTCGTGGCCGAAGAAATTTAAATCAAATAATAATTATTTCCGTTGACAAAATAAAAATCATAAACATTAAATGCTAATTTAAATTATTTTACTCATAATCACCGTCCCTGGTATGTATGTACGAGGGATGTTGCGAATATTTGCATTCGCATTCGTTACGCGAATGATTCGCATCATTTTACACATTCGCATTCCCATCAAATGATTGTTGAAATGGCAGTAAGTCTGTCTAACCAGGGTGCGGACAATAACCGGCTTTTAGCTTCAGGCGCTAAACGGTTAAGTAGTATATCAAGCAACATTGATGGGCCTTCAACAAGTTCTGCTAAAAGTCTTATAAGCAACCTAGAAATAATTTTAGATTCCTCCAGCAAAACCAAAGGCTTGGATGTAGAATCTGGAGACATTAAAAAATGTGAAATGAAAGCTCAATTGAAGGCCTATCTTAAAGAAAAACGAGCTTATCTCGGTGAAAATTCTCTCGATTGGAGGAAAACTAAACTAAAATACGACAAATTGACAGATCTGGTCCGCAAATATTAGAGCGCTCCACCCGCCAGCGTTCCATGTGAGCAATTGTTCAGTGCAGCCGGCTCTACGAAATCAAGGCTCTACGAAATCGCCTCATGGGAGAAAAGGCAGAAAAATAACTTTTTTTGAAATATATGTAATATGCTCCTTTTGAACTTGGCTTTGTATAAGTTAAGCACTCGTTCAACGATGATTTAAGTTGATTATAGCTTTTTTAATGTTATTCCAAACATTCGCATTCGCGAATGTGAAAAATATGACATTCCAAACATCCCTAGTATGTGCATATGCTTGCACTGCAGCAAGGCGAATTCATACAAGGTTGTGCCGAATTTAGGATCTATGAGCTCCTAGGCTGTTTCCGTGGTGTGGGCCCCCTTGGGAGTACTAAGGCAAAAAGCGGCCACGGGTCTGCTTCAGATGTTAGCTTTTTTAAGTTTTAAACATAACCTATCCTTACTGGTAAAAATTACGATTAGGTTTTTCTATATACTCTTAAAACACCATGGATATTGGATGGATATTGAATGAAGAAAAAACTTTTTAATTTTTCATGTGTGTATGTACATACCAGTGATGGAGAAGTAGGCACAATAGTGCCATTTTTTGCACTTTCTTTCACAGAGGCACACTATTGTGAATACGCAGTATGAAAAGTAAGTTTCCGTACCAAACTTTTAATTCAACATTTTTAGAAAGATTCTAAGTTTGCAGTTTTATAGTCCATTAAATAAAAGTGCAAATTTCTGGAATATTCCAATGATTTTTGATATTTTTTTTCCATTAAAAAAAATTTCGAACACGCTTTATATGGAAAAAATGCATGAAATTGAAAACTTGGAATCTCCTTAAAAATTCTGAATTCAAAGTTTGTTGTTGGGAAAACCTGCTGAATTTTTATAATTTTTGTGCAAAGTTTGAAATTACGATTTTTGGGATTCTGTGTAATTTTACTATGAATTTATGTATATGTCTAAGGAATCCTTCATAAAAGTGAATTACTGTAATAATTTAGCTAATTAATAATTATTATATTACTACAGTGTGTTTTAAAAATATTATTTCAAAAAATATATTGTTCTTAAAACGCCTTAAACAATTTAATTTTGTGGCACTTTCATATTGGGTTCGGCACTATTTTTGAAGACCATTTGGCACATTTTGAAATTCCATTCCTGGTACATACATACGTATGTATGTACAGTGCCGGACAATAGTAGTGACTGTGTTATTATTTATATCTTAAAGAAACTGCGTGAATAAAAGCCAAAAAGTTCAGCTTTTCCATCATGGACGTCCGAAGTCGGGTTTTTATCAGCTACAGTTTAGAAAGAGAAAGGTATGTTCTTAAGCTGATGACAGATAAAACTTTGTGGCTTTACGGGACATTTATAACTTTGTCAGTAGGGCGCAAGACGATAAGGCATGATAAAAACATAGCAAGGTAGAACCGTTCTCTCAATTTGTCGGCCATGATTTTTTTTTTGAAGCTTGCCAACATTTTAAAATCATATAAAAGTGAAAATAAAAAATTGAAATTGTTCGAAATTGTTGTTGCTTGAGATTGAAAATGAAAATGTGTGTGTGAGTTTGTGAGTTAATTTAAAAATTAAATTGTTTGGAAATGTCAAGAATTTTAAAAGTGACTCTCAGCGGTTCTACCTTACTATATTTTTATCATGCGATAAGGTATGCCTAGTAATAGAACGATACGAGTGCCGAGTACAGAATATAGATACTTTTCAGGAGTACTGAGTAGTATCGAGAGCTCGATACTTTGGCAAACACTGAGTAAATATCGCGAATACCAAAAAGAATCGGCGTGTTAAAAGCTTTTTTAGTAAAAAAATTTTAAATTTACATACTCAATTTCGTTCTTTCAATTACATTGAAAATTGTTAAAAAATTATCCAACAAACATTATGGCGAATGTTCCGAAATTATTTTTGATATCCAGTGTGAATGTCGTGTAAATGAACATAATACTCATTTACCTCAATGCTGTCACGACTCAAAAAACCAAAAATTCGGGAAAAACAGCTTTAAAATTTTGAATTTAAATATTCTGCCATAGTAAAAATTAATACATATTTTGTTCTAATGAGCTACTAGTAGTCGGTACAGCTATGCAATTTGTACGCAACATAGAAGAAGAGGGAGGGGTAATTTCAACACCGGGCTCGGTTAAAAATTCTTTAATATTTGGAAAAGGAATTCTTGCCTGACCTTCCATAATGAATGGTATAAGAGGGTGGTCTTCGGCTCGATAACTTGCCCATTCTCCAGCGTAACGGAGCATTCGGTATCCTATGTATTTTACCTTCGCTGAAATTTCGAAATCCAAACCGTTCTCGAAAAAAAATTATGGAAGAGAGCTTATCTTTCTTTTAGAGAATGGGGCTCCCCACATTTGAGGCCATTAGAGCAGAAGCAGCCTAACACACAAGTATTTTTCTTTTGTACCTACAGTGACGGGCAAAACTGTAACATGGTGTAACACTTTTTACTTCAGCCATCGTTATATTTCCGAAGTTCTAACGACTTTCAGACTTTTGTTGTATATTCCGATTGGCACACCTGCACCTCCTCTCTCATAATGATTTGAAGTCAATCCAACGACA